GAGGTTATATTCTTTCAGGGCTTGGAATATTTCACTCCAAGCTCCTCTTGAATTGATAGTTTGTGTTGAGAAGTCTGCTGTGATTCTGATGGGCCTTCCTTTATGGGTGATCTGCTTCTTATCTCTAACAGCTTTTAATATTCTGTTCTTATATTGAATTTCTGGGATCTTGATTATTATATGCCTGAGTGTAGTTCTGTTTTGGTTGTAGGTGGCTGGAGTCCTGTATGCCTCATATATCTGAATATCATTTCCTTTTCCTATATTTTGGGAAGTTTTCCTTAATTATTTCTGTGAATAGCCTTTGTAGATCCTTTGTTTCTACCTGTTTCTTCATTCACATTCTTTATTCTCAAGCTATAGATCCTCTTGTCATCTTCTAGCCTTTGTATTGTAACTGCTTATTTCCTTGTTTTTTTTTTAATTTTTATTTTCATAATCCCACATTGCAAACCTGTCCTCCAGTTTGGATAATCTATCCTTAGTTTCTTTTAAGCAGTTTTGCTGTCTTTCCATAGAGTTTTTAATTTCTTGGTAATCTCTTTGAATCTGCTTCATGCATTCTATGTTTCTTTATATTTATTATCAAATGGTTCTCTCCTCTGTGTTCCTCCATTCTTCCATTTGTATCTTTTTGGGAGTGCTTAGCATTTGTTTTATTAATCTATTTATATCTTGCTTTACTTGGTTAAATATTTCATTTTTGAACTCGTCTATGAGGTCCTGAAGATATCTCTTTATGTCCACTGATGCTGAGTCTGATATTGCATGTTTGCTGTCCTCAATCTCTTTTGTATTTATCTTTCCTGGATCAATGTTCTCTGGGTTGGGGGCTGGCGACTTATTGCTTCCTCTTCTCATATTTTTTTGTTTCTTGCATACAGGCATATAAAGGAGGCCCCAGTCCCTTTTTTGGTTGTTGTTAATTCTGATTCTTCTCAGAGGCATTGTCTAGGTGGCCCTGCCCACTCCAGTGTGCTATTGAGGTGCAAATAGGGATGGCCCATGCTGGCCTCTCCCCTTGGGTCAGCAGCCCTCTGAGGCCTTCACCGCATTAGTACGTGCAGCCCGTAGGGAATTGGTCTGGGACACTCTACTGGTTCCCAGCCAGGGGTGTGACCCAGGCCAAGCACCTCTTACCAATCCCTTCTGGGAAGGGAACAACTGACTGAAGTCTCTGCAGTACCTTGTTTCTGCCAGTCCTTCCCAGTTCCAAAATGTTTTCCCCTTTCCTGCAAAAGGGTTTTATTCCCGACACTCACCGCAGGTCAATGCAGGTCCCCTACCGGCTCTCCATCGGCAGATCCCGACCTCAGTGCGTCCCGTGCCCCGGTGCGACCACGGCTCTGTCGAGTCGAAGTGGTGGGAACCGGGCAGTTTGCCCAGTTGCAGCCATGTGAGTCCCGACACGCCAGTCAGTGCGGTTCTCTGTTTCGCTGCTCCCTTCTGCCCTCACATCTCCCCACCAAGGCCTTCAGGCTCGCCCGCCACCAGCTTCACTGTGCCCGTGCATCTCCGGGTCCCAACAGTGCTTCTGGCTCAGTGGGACTGGCTCTGGTGAGAGTGTCACCAGCTACCGTCTTCTTCTGTTCAAGTTTTTCTTTTTTAAAATTCTTTCTGTGGGCTTCAATTCTCACTTTAGTTTCTTCCTGGGTCAAGGGGATCTACGTCTTTCCTGCTTTTCCTTCTCCAGAATGGTATTTTCCAGCATCTGGGCTGTTTTTCTCAGGCTTTTTACTTTGCTGCTTACTGTTCCGCCATGCTCCCAGACTCCCAGCGGAGTGGCTTTCTCAGGCTTTTTTGTCCTAGTAAGGTACTGGAAGGCTTATATTCACATACAGTGGTTTCTGTCCCTTTGATTCCAAGTTGGTGTGATTACCTCAAAAACTTTGTGCATTTTCCATACATCTGATTATAGTCTACTTCACCCCTCAGTTTCTTTTCAGATGAGCCACACACCAGACAATACAGCCAAGAGTCTGAGAAGGCCTTTAATCTTGTTGAAAGGGAAGACTAAATACCACTTTGAATTGTTTGGTGATATTAAAAAGTGTCTGCAGGCAACACCCTTAAATCGGTCTTGAAGCAGAGGCTGTATTTTATGGGCAGCACCCTGCAATTGGTTTTTATTCCTGGATCTTTTGCCAGCTAGAGAAACTACAGATATGAAACAAGTTTAGTTTTCAATATGACAAATTATGGCCTGTGTATTTGCCCTAAGTTATGCTTGCAGCTTGAACTGTTTCTCTTTGGTTTGTCTCTCTTGTCATAGGCAGCTAAGCATAAATCTACTGTTTTAATATTTCCAGAGGACTGGAAATCTAGCCTTTTCCTCAGCAGGTCCATTTATTAGGTCCACATTCGACCTGCCAAGTTGCATCAGGTGACTGTCTCATCAACTGTACTTACTTGCACAGCGCAGCTGTCTGTCTGCAGCCTCCGATGCAGTTTAGTTACTTCTCTTTCCATTTTTGTTTATTGTGCCTGACCAGCCCGTGCCCACTGCTCAGTCCCATCGTAAATGCCCCATGTTTTAGTTTTTTGTTCTGGAGGCTCTCCAGGTTTGACATTGGTTACTGTTTCAGTTAGCTGTGCTGTGTAACAAACACTAAAACTTAGTGACCAGAAACAGCAGTGGTTTCTTATTTCCCATGTTTCTGTGGGTTGGATGGTTTTCTTGTTGATCCCTTCTGGGATCTCTCCTGTGTCTCTGGTCCTCTCACAGTGCAACTGGGATTGGAGGGTCTAGGACATCTTCACACACAGGTTTGGCAGTTAGTGCTGTCTGCCTTCTAGGACACTGGCTTTCTTTCACATTCTCCACCAGTAGGCTGGATCTGGTTTCTTCACAGGGAGGTGGTCTCAGGTCCAAGGAGCATGAGAAAGGAAGATGCAAGGCAACTTAAGTCCTAGGCTCTAGAATCTGCACAGTGTCACTTCTACTTTTGTTCTTTTAGGTAAAGAAATCACAGAGCCAGCTCAGATTCAATGAATGGAGAAGCAGATGCTACCTCTTGGTGGGAGGAGCGGCAGTGTCAGTCATGCCCCTGGAATGGTCACAGGGCCTCATGGGGTCATTGCTATGACAGCTGACACCCCACACTTATTCTTTCACATCAACAGTTCCACCCAGTGACTCCCTTCATTTTATCTGTGAGTGGCTCTCCTGTGACATTTGTTCTGCCTTTGTGACTACTGTCTTTTGCAGACTCCTCTGTGAGCTCCTTTTGCTGATTCTATGCCTTTAATTGAGATGGTCCTCAGGACAGTGAAATCTATTTTTCCCCTTTCTTTATTCTCAGCTGTGCTCATGATTTTGACCCCATACATTAATGTTTTTTAAATTTGTAACCTTCCTCTGAACATTTTACCTCCAGTTCTTTAGATTTATAAATTTTATCTGAGGCTGGACATCTCCCCCGGACCTTCCACTGGTATTCACTCAGCTCCATCTTGAATTCATCCTGAGCTGCTGCCGTACTCCTGGCCTTAGCGAATGGAGCCATTGCCCTGTTGGGGATGGGGTCTGCCTTGTTCTTTGCTCCTTCTTCAAGTTCGATCAGATTTACCCTGTAAACATCTTCAGAGTTTCCTTTGTATAATATTTGTCGGGCACATCCCTTTTCATCCTTGCAGTCTTAATTAGGCAGTCATAGTCTCTTGTTGGGTAATAATTTTCCGCTGGACTCTCTGCCCCCAATACTTCCATTCTCAAACCACAGTGACTTCCTACAAGACAGATGGCACTGCGTCACCTTCCTGCCTAAAACCCTGCATGGCTCCTCAATGCTTGTGCTTTCCAAAGTGAGTTCCAAAAGAACACTTGTCCATGGGATGTTAATAGACTCTGCATAGAAAGAAAGTCTCCCCACTCACGTTAGTTTGGAAAAGCTGGGGAAAATAAAGTTAAAGAGGTTTCTTTATGGAGCTTCTTGTAGGACTCCTCAGAAAGACGTAGGACTCCTTTTAAAGATGCCGAGCACATTGGAAAGGTGAATCTAATATTTCCTTCTCCCCCTGCCTTCTTCCTTGCATAGTTTTTCTATTTTTTAAATTTGAAAAAGAATTTTATTTAGTTGATATGGATTTACATGTTTATGAGATACCATGTAATATTTTGATACATGTGTACATTGTGTATTATTCAAAATGGCGAGCGTATCTATCTCCTCAACCATTTGTCATTTGTTTCTGATGAAAATATTCAAAATTCTTCCAGATTTTTTTGAAAGACACATTGATTTGCACTTTATTCTGCATACTATTGATGTTTATATTACCGAATCTTTTGAGTTATATATATATATATATATATATATATATATATATATTTTTTTTTTTTTTTTTAGCTTCTTGAGGCCATGAACCTTTATATCTCTTACAACATTCACGGCAGTACTTGGTAAAAAAGGAGTAGACACTTGAATTGAATAAAATTTATTTCTTACTATAGAATTTTTCTTAATAGTGTATTTTCATATGGAGTTAGCCCTCAGTATCCAAGATGGATTGGATTAGGACACCAGTATGCACACTAAAATCTGAAGACTTCTGTTATATATATAAAAAAGTAAAAAGAAATAAGGTGTGTTATACACATGTGTTAACTCCTCATGATGAATTTAATCATTATATACCTAAAACATGTATTAATAAAAGTTTAAAAATTAAAAATGGCATAGTATTTGCATATAACCTATGTAAGTGTGCATTATCATTTGTACTTTATCTCTGGATTATTCACAATGCCTATCACAATGCAAACTCTGTGTAAATACTTATTACTGGAGATACAGTGAGCAAAAAATTTTTTCCTATATGTTCACTAAAAACTCAATTTTTTCCTGAATATTTTTGATTCATTGATAAGATTTGAGGTTGTAAAACCATGGGTTAAGAGAGCTCATTTTATTGAGTTCAGTAATAGTGAAGGTTGTATAAGGACAAAGAAGAGTACTATTTTGATCCCTTATAATTTTTTATTAAAATTGTGTGTTTAGAGTAGCTTTGAAAAACAGTGCAATGATGGACTCATTGGAGTAGAGGCATCCCGGACATTAATTGGTGCTACCAAAATCTACTGCCTCATCCAAGAAAAGTAAGTTGACTACTTCTTTAATTGTTATCTCCAAAATTGAGTAGATATGTGAAGAATAAACTAAGAATCACGTGTCCAGATTGACCAATCTATTATCTCTTCTACTTATATTCATCTGCCAGTTCATCTGTCCATCTATCTCTTCACATATTATCTGTTCATCTGTACATTCATTCATCTATACAAATGTCCATCTGTCCATCCATCTATCTGTTATTTTTTTTTATTTGCACATTTCCTCCCTACAATTTCATAACCTTCATGACATTAGGGATTTTGAAGAAAGTTCTGATAGCAATTCATTAGATAAGAAGCAAATAGATCCATTAATGACAACTTATTCAACTTCAGTTACTATTATTATTATCATTTTGCCTCCATATCATAGTAACTAAAGTACTGGCTGGAGGAGGTACAGAGAGCTGGAACATGGTTCTATTAGACTGTTCCCTAGAATGGAGCAGGCCTTGGAGCAATGGGTTTCACTGGTGATGTTGACAGCTGCCAGGAAATCTGATGGGAAAAACTCAGTGTCTTAATGATATATCCCATTTGGTCACAGTGTTGACAAGCATTAAAAACATTAGACTGTTTCAAAACAAAGGTGTAAGGCAGTGATAGGAGATACTGGTCTGGTGATAGTCAGCATTTTAGCAGCTTGGTAATCTCTCTGGGAGATCGTCAATCCCTGGGATTACTCTCGAGAAAGTAAAGCCTTCAGATTTTTGGAGAGACTTAAGCTGGGAAACATATGATGAAAGGAAGCTTGATTTCAGAACCCCTGGAGATTGGTCTAGAAAAATTTTAATTGTGTTCTACTTCAGAACAGGGATTATTCTTGGAATGAGGCACAAGGGGTCTCGTGCTAAAAATATTACTTTACCAACAATGGATAGATGGGTGAAAAGATTTGAAAATGAGTGAACATATGAAATAGAAGTTATATCTAGTATAACTTCTATTTTTATATTATTCCCAAGGATAGTTCTTGTCTTTTATTATAGCACATATGTGTATTTTCCTTTGTTAGATTCATGAGTATCTATGATGTTTCAACTTATGTAAGATCTAGAAGTTGGCTTATAATGTTTAAAAACATACTAACTTACATGGAATACCATAAAGAAAAGGGAGCTTTTGTTTTACCTGGGTAAGTACTATGAACCTTTAATGGAAATATAAGCAAAAATGTTATATCTCTACATTTTTAGAATATAATATTTTGGTTTTTCTTATTAAAATGAAACTAACATTATGGTTAACTCCTGTTCAGGGATTGAAGAGAGTGCTTGCTTCTCTTTTCCCGTTCTATTTTAGCAACTTCATTGATACATCCATTAAAATGTGGGTGGGAAGAAGAAAATGATAGCATTTTTGGATCATATTGTATATTCTGCTTGCATATTCCTCTGGGTATAATGGAACAAGAGTGAGAAATACCTAATGGTGGACTAGTTCTAGCTCAGCTTAACTTTTATCTTTTCAGAGGGTAGTAATGTTGATGTCTACAATTAGGAAAGACACAACATGGTCTAAGTACCTATTAGCAATTTTTCAAAATATCACAAAATACAGATTTTTCTTAACTTAGGTATACTCTTTACTTTGTTATGTCAATTGTGAGCTTATATAATTTTTAGAGTTGGAAAATAGGGTTTTTGATCAATAGAAAATGTCAAAACAAGAACATGCAAGGAACACTAAAGCTGCTAAAACTTCAGTGGGTTTTAATCTTTGATAACCACAGGTAATTTTTTTTGGTGGTACTGGGGATGGTAATAATTTTTTTGCTTTCTTTTTCTTTTGTTATATTTTTGTATTTTTTCTTTTTCTTAAATATAACCAATTTAAGAAGAAATTAAAAAAGTAACATAACAAATTCCTAGGATCTTTTTTTTTTTTTGTCTTTTTTATTTTTATCAATACCGGGGATCAAACTCATGACTGCCTGCTTGCAAGGCAGGCGCTTATGCCACTGAGCTAAATCCCCAGCCCCAATTCCTAGGATCTTAATGATACGTATTGAACCTTTTTTTGTTAGACACCATTTTATTTATTTATTTATTGAGACAAGGTCTTACTATGTAAGTTCAGGCTGGCCTGTACTCACTATGTAATCTAAAATGGCCTTGAGCTCATGTCAATCCTCTTGCCTCAGCCTCCTGAATGCTGGGATTACAGGCATGCACCACATACCCAGCTTCTACTTTAGACAGATTAGAAAGTTTTAAGAAATGTGTAGCATGGTAATTATTGAATAGAATATTTTTTCTTGTTCTTTTTTTGTAAATGCTGATATGCAACTCATTTTCTTCTAAACTTCTTTATTTCTTACTTTTGACTTATAAATATTTATAGCATCTTCTATGGCCTTTGGCCTTGATTTTAAAAATACACCTCATCTCTGATAAAGCTTAACGAGGGTCATGCCTTTATCTTTCTTTATTATGATATTTATGTACAGATAGTATTTATTTGTTCTTAACTATTGTTATATATTATTTATAGTCTTCAAATTAATTTTAAAAATTTGTTTAAACAAATGATGATCTTCACCTCTCAATTTTTAGACTTTGAAGTGATCTCAGATTTTATTTGATCTTATTTTTTTCAGGGTTAATAAATTCATCTTATTTGTATACCGCATCGTGTTTTCAGAAGAATTTGAATATGCAGCAAATATTATAACGTTCATGTATATTTATCCTCTCATAATACATTTATGGCCAATGGCAAGAAAGCTCAATGAGTCAGCACTGAGTTCAATAAACTACTATTTTTTGTTTTTATATGTACTACAGTCAACGTTGAAGGTACTACTTAAAATGGAGATGTGTTACATTTTATATAGCAAGAACAACTCAGATAGTTTGGATCTATTTTTATTATATTACTGAAATGACTTGATACCAGAAGCCATTTGTTAATATGCTTAGTGGGATTCTGGAATTTTAGTAACATTTTTGAATTTTTAATAATTCAATAATTTAATAATTTAATAATAAAATCAGTATAATAGTCACAGTCTTGGGTATCAGATAAAAATCAGGCACCTGATCTCAAGGGCCAGGTGGAAGATGTTTGAGAAATCAGACATAAATATTTCCCTCAAATATTTTAAAGACAAATTTGTGTAACATCAAGAATGAACAAATGGGATCATAACAAATAAAAAAGCTTCTTCACAGCAAGGAAAACAACCAACAGAATGAGAAAAAATTTTGCCAGCTATTCCTCAGAGGACTCATATCTATGTTTTATAAAGAACTAAAAAAAAATTAGATTCCCCAAAAGATCTAATAAAAAATAGCCAACTGAAATAAATAAATGCATTTCATAAGAATTACAAATGGTCAATAAATACATGAAAAAATGCTTAACTTCACCGTCCTTTAGAAAAATGCAAATAGAAACAGTTACCCTGAGATTCTATCTCACCCTAGGAGAACAGCCATCATTAAGTCAAATAATAGCAAGTGCTGCAGGCTGCAGGGGAAAGGGCATTTTCTACACCACCAATGGGAAGGTAAACCAGTACAACCACTGTGAAAATCAGCATGGATATTCCTCAAAAAACTAAAACTTGAACTGGGTGTGGTAGCGTTCACCTGTTATCGCAGCACTTGGGAGACCGAGGCAGGAGAATTGTAGAGAGTTCGAGACCAGCCTGGGTTACAAAGTGAGCTCAAGACCGTCCTGAACTGCACAGCAAGACTGTGTTTCAAAAAGACAAAAACAAAACAAAGCAAAACGAACACTGCAACTGGAAATCCAGTTTACTTACCTATTCTTCTAGGTATCCTCCCAAGACAGTTAAAGACATCATACTATAATGAGACATGTGTACCCATGTTTATAGAAGTACAATTGTTAATAATTAAATTGTAGAAGTGGCCTGTATGTCCACTGACAGAGGAATGGGTAAAGACAGTGTGGCACTGACACACAATGGAGCGTGACTCTGCCCCAAGGAAAAACCTGAGTCACTTGTAGGGAAATGAAAGCACCCGGAGACCATCCTGTTAAATAAATCAGATGCGCAAGCTTAAGTACCACATGATTTCTCCTATACAAGAAACCCACAGTAAAGATAAAGGGCAAAATAAAAGACAAAGAATAGGAAGCAAGGAGATAAATTGTTCTCTAATGGGGAAGGGATCGAGAGATGTCGGGGTGAGGAGGTTGGAAAGAAAAGCGTTTGGGATGTGTTGTGCATGTGTACCAACTCCACACGGGGACTGTAAGTGGAATGCAAACATATAAAAGACAAAAGGGTGAGGGGGTCAAAGGATGGGCACAGGAAAAGGAGGAGGGAAGGGAACCAGGGATGAATGAGGGTTAAGAGGTCTTATGTACAGGTACCAACCTGCCCCGAGGCATGTAAACAACACAGTATATTAAAAATGTCTGTGACCCACGGTTCTCCTGGTCTGTATCTTCCTGAAAGAGCTGAAGATAACACACCACAGGGTTGCATGCTTTCCTGTGTTTATAGCAGCACAACTCACAATCGTTAAGTTTTGGAAATACTTTATTTGTCCATCAAACGGATGGGTAAGGAAGTGGATTTTTTATGTACAATGGAATATGCTTCTGCTATAAAGGAGGATATTGTAGGAGTCCTGTGCAGGAAAATGGATACACCTTGAGACTGTAGTGTGGAGTGAAATAAATCAGAAACACAAGCTTAAATATTACATATTTTCTCTTATAGGAAAATTAAAGAGCAAAATAAAAGGTAGACAATAAGAAAGCTATTTTACAAATGAGAAAGCTAACCAAGAGATGGAGGGAGGGAGAAAGGAGAGAAAGAGGATGAAAAAATTAGGATTGCCATGTACTTGCACCAAAAGTGCACAGTGAATGTGACTACTATGTACTGCAGACATCTACGAATGAAAATAAAAACGAACCAGCAGCAGCAGCCACCACCAGACTGGTGACCCCGTTCCTCAAGCTGCTGCTGTTCAACCTTGACCCCAATAATTGTGGCACACGCCCTTCCCTTTTCCCTGTCCCCTGCTCCCTGCATTGGGCCAGCATCACAGACCGGGGTGCCAGAGGTGTGGCTGGAGGCGACATCACAGCCTGGGCAGGCAGGGCCCTGGAACAACTGCTGACACTTGTTCTTCTGATCTGTGCTGTCGCGGTCTGTGGTCACCTGTCCTGGTTTCAGTGTGTATATATGTCATCTTGTGATACATTTACACACAGGCTATCAAATGTATCTTTTTGAAAAAAGTCCAACTGGTGTAATATGAGAAACGCTTCTTAGAATAAATGCTTCAAAGATAGCTTATCTGGTTGGGTTTAGGGGTGCAAGCCGGCAATGTCAATGCTCAGGAGTCTGAGGCAGGAGGATTGCTGTGAGTTTGAGACCAGCCTGGGTTATGAAGTGAGCTGAAGGCTATCCTGCACTGCATAGCGAGGCCCTGTATCAAAAAGACAAGCAAAAAGAAAAGATAGATTAGCTGCACACCCGTTTTCCCACTTTATTGTTAGTGATATTACAGTGAAACTGCTTATTGTTATTTTTAACTCTTTTTTTGGCATTCCAGCCTCAAAATATACAATTTAGAGTATACAATACATGTACATAATATATATTATATTATTTGAGTAATATTAGAAGTTTGACATTGGAGATTAGAAAGAATTTTTAGGAATTTCAGATAACTTAAAGCATAACTTTTGGAACAAATCATTTGTGGCTAGGGACTTAACCATTAGTTTTAAAGATTTTCCCTCTTCATCAATGTATAGGTGCAATGAGATGACATGTATTCTATTTGTCTTCTAAACAGCTTATAATTTTGAGAAAAAAATATTTTAAACAACATTGGAATTCACTGGATTTTATTATCATGCTTGTTGGACTTATTGATGCCTTGGTTTTATACTGTGTCTTACTGAGACCAGACAACTTGTTTCTTATCCAGTTTACAGTGACATTAGGATATTTAAGAATAATTAGGCTTCTTCCTCTCTTCAAGGTAAGACTTTGTATTTTAAAATACTATTTTAATCTCAGCACTTGGGAGGCTGAGGTAAGAGGATTTTTGCAAGTTTGAGACTAGCCTGGGCTACAAAGCGTTGGAGTCCAAGGCCAGCCTGAATTACATAACAAGATCCTGTCTCAAAAAGACAAAACAAAACAAAACAAACAAGCAAACAAACAAAAAACCCCCTGAAAGCTGAGGTAAGGGGGTTGCCACAAATTCAAAGCCAGTCTGGAGTGCATAGTGAGTTCAAGGACATCTGGAATTATACAGTGAAACTCTGTCTCAGAAACAAAAAGACAAACTGTGATAGGTAAAAAGGGAAAGAAGGAAAAGGAAAAAAAAATATTTATACACAAGATAGTTAAAATAGTTACACAGCTATTTTTCTTAGCTCATTGAAAAGGTTTGTGCTAATATTGTTTGGAGAAGATATCATGTCTGTGTCTTGCACTCTGAATAACTAATAGGAAGTCAACAATATTATTGTAACTCGCCTACTAGCCTGTTTTTTTCCATATCCATTTTATTCAAGGATAAAAAGAAAGAAAAAAGAAGAAAATACAACAAAATTTCCAAACACATCAATCGGGGGCAACAATGGTACATACATTGCACATTGTCATCCCCAAGTCATTCATCCAGAGCACAAGACATCTGCATCAAATTGTCCAAATAATACCAGCAAAAATCCTTCTCTTCAGTGAACTCAGAGAAACCAGTAGTATAACTATCTTAACTATTTTCTATCTACATACACATACACATATACATGTTTTTTTTCAGCTTGTCACACTACTAGCCTGTTTTGAAACACTTTTACTGATTTTTTCCCCTTTAAAATAAAAATTGAAACCAGAAAAGAAGGATAAAATAGAAACAAGGCTTTGTAAATAAGGAGGGGAAGAAGGGTTGAAGGAAGGGGAAAGGAACGGAGAAAGAAGAAGAATCAAGGTATATCATGTACAGGTACAAATTCCCTATGATAAATGTAGTCATTACGTATATCTAAATTATACCAATAAACTTAACTAATTTTAAAAAGCTAACACTTAAAATGAAAGAGAATTTTCTCAGGTATCCAGTTTTCATACAGATATGCAGAAAAGTGTAAGGTAAGTTATTTTGGACGCAATACTTTGTGAGAACTATTTCAAATAGAGTAAAGATTTAAAGGTGTATTATTATGGAGGCCAAATTCATTTAGAATGTGGCCAGAAAGCGTTCTGAACCAGCTGACTCATTAGTTGAGCACGCTCTGGACAAATCCCAATCAGTCAATTTAAGGAATTGATATGGCTAGCTTTTCTGTTTGCCAGGGACGGAATAAAATGCTTTAAATACTTGATCTAGTTGAGCTGTTTTTAGAGCTAGGTGAGACTGGTGTCACCAGTACATACAGTGAGTCCCTTAATAGCAGACTTGGGGCAGTGCGCAGTGTCTCTGGAAAGAAATCCGTGTGGGAAAGCTGGGAAGAATATCGGGATCTGTACAGATGCTCCGAGGGGCAGCTCAGGGGTGTTGGTGCACACAGAGGCATGCTTTGAAAGAGTCCTCTACAGAGCTCTCCCTTTGCACAGCATTTCACAGTCAAAACAGAAGCTTCTGGACCCCTTTCTCTGCTCCCCTAATTCCTTCCCTTTGTCACATGCTGTTTTCCTGTTCCCTTTTCTCCTCCTTGCTTCTCAGTGCGTCATAATCTGCCCCAGGGCTGGGAAAGAGCTCCGTGAGAAACCCCTGGGTTCTGTATTGGGGCAGCTCCACTGAAATTCTGGTACTGAATATCACTAAGTGATACTCAGAGTAAATAGAGTCCTCAGTCACTCAGCAATTTGCTCAAGGTCACAGAGCTGGACAGTTGGCATTTAAACCTAGAGAAGTCTATATTAATTTAATTAATTAATTTATTTATGTTTTTATTTTTAAAAATACAACAAAACAAAGCAAAACAGAGCAAAACAGATCAGAGTAAAACAATGCAGATAACAGGATTTCAAGACAAGACAATAGGAAATCAACAGTAGCTACCATAATGTTTCTTGCTTTCTTCGAAATAGTTGTCCATACCTTCACACACAATGAGTTAATACAAAACAAAATAGTATAAAAGCAATGAAAACGAAAGTATGAGAGCCTTACGAGTCTTCAAAACCAGACAATAGGAAATCAATAATGTCTACCATAATGTCTCTTGTTTAAAATCTCCCTTTCTGGGGCCACTACACTAGCCTTTCTAAGCTTAGGATTACAGAAATTCAGAGCTAAGAAAAGACCCCAGATATCCTAAATTGCTCATTTTACAAGTGAAGAGAGTAAGGTACCGAGAGATGATTTATTCAGCTGGTAATTATGAAGTGGCTTATGGGATCACCTCTTTTGTTTCCCGAAATATAGGTGTTCAGAGAATGATAGGGCTGGGCTAGAGTCTCCACATAAAGTTATTCATCTTTATGATGAATGTGATCGATCATTACATATATATATAAAATGTACCAATAAAATCTGATTGAAGAGAAAAAATAGAAAGCAATTTTAAAAAGATATTCATCAAACTTTAATTTCTTTGAAGAGTAAATCTCAAACTCAAATTTGCACAAAAGCATCGGGAGGATTTGGTATAAAACTGGCTACTGGGACCCACCTTAGTGCATCTGATTCAGCAGGACTGGGAGGGAGCCCAGAATTTACATTTCTTTTTTTTTTTTTTTTTTTTCCTTTTTGGTACCAGGAATCAAACTCACAATCTCACACTTACCAGGCTGGTGCTTATATCACCAAGCTAATTCCCTGGCCCTGAATTTTGCATTACTAACAAGTTTCTGGGAGTTGTTATTGGAAGGATGGAGAAACTCTGAGATTCTCTGCTTTATAGAGTGCCAGTGGCTTTTCTGTTGAAACTTACAGGTTTTCTCTCCTCCCTCTATTCTAGCTAGTAATACCAATACTGATAAATACGATAGATGTGCAGATCAAAAAGCACCTCAGCTTGGTGTACAGTATTACGAAAGGATACGCTAAAAGTCAAGAAGATGCCAACGTTTTAGTAAAACAAATTTCTGGCCGTGAATCAGTGTATCAGGTGAGAAGCACTGGTCTTTTTTGGGGGGTGGCTGTTAGTTATATAATAATAGGCGACTTACTTCTACATGTATCTGACTAGACAAATTCCAATAATAGAAGAGGATTCCCTAATTTACTGTATAGTACGAGGTGCTGTAGAGGAGACCATCTCAGATCATCATATTTCAGTTATTATTACCAGACTCACTTGTTATCTTCATAGCAGAAAATAAGTGATTTACTTATGGAGTGCAGAGTCAGGGACAGTCTATGAAAATGGTAGGGCACTGGGAAAAGGCTTTATGCAAGGGTTAAGATTTAACAAGTCTTCATCTACGGGGTAGGTCTTAAGGAAAGAGAAAAAGAGGAAAAGAGAACCAAGATTTGTCAGTGAAAACTTAAAAAGGTACTGGGGAGGGGATGGGCAATAGCACTGATTTTTTTGTCACTCATGACCCTCCTCATTTTCAGGCTGTACACAGTTAGTGCCAAATGGAAGCTCAGAGATGGAGCAAATTATCTCCTACCGGGGTCCCTCACCCCAGTTTGCCCATATCAGGCCTCTTTTCACAATTTAACAATGTTCCTAAAAGAACTACTTTGTGTGTGTGTGTCTTTTGGTGGGTACCCGGAATCGAACTCAGGATCTAGGGGGCTTGCCAGGTAGGCGCTGCACCACTAAGCTGTATTCCCAGCCCAAAATGAGCTATTTTAAATTGCATATGTATTTTGAGACTATTTGAGACTATTCAGTGGCTCCTCTTAGTTTACAGGGTAGGGTCTTGGAATGTAAAACAAAAATTAGCGGGGGAAAGTCCCTCTTACTTTTACAAGTTGGAAAATCCACACAATAATAGAAGTAAAGTATCTTCTCTCAGCCTTTTTGGCTCTTTGTCGTTGGTAAGAGCAAGTACCTTACAAAAGGTGACAAAACAAAACAAAACAAAACAAAACAAAACAAATCAAAACAAAAAGACAGTCAAGAAGAAACTGGTTGATCCCATTCCGAGGGGTCCTAGGGTTCCTAGAGAGCATTTGTTCTGTCCAATGGAGAAATATTGTGGAAACACTAGCTGTGAGAACTCGAGGCGCCAAAATTGCATCTGAGGGCCTCGAGAAGAATGTTTGAAGGGAGTCTTGCTGATCTGCAGAAGGAAGAAGCTGCATTTAGAAAACTCAAGCTAATTGCTGGGGATGTTCCGGGCTCCAACAGCCTAATTCGTGGGACACACAGGACAGTGTGCTGATCAGAAAATGGCACGGCATGGTTGAAGCTCATGATGCCAAGATCACCGATGTTACCTGTGTTTTCCTGGGTTGGCTTTCGTAAACAAGGCAGGGAAGACTGTTACGCTCCATGTCTATGGTTCCGATCCACCTGGAAGGAGATGAGAGTCATGCCTAGAAGGAGACAGATGAAGGACTTGAAAGAAGTGGTTTATAAACAGATTCCAGACAGTATTGAGAAAGATGTAGAAATGAAGAGCTGGTCTTTTTATCCTCTTTATGATGTGTCTTCATCAGGAAAGTGAAAAATGCTGAAGAGGCCCAAGTTTGAACTGGGGGCTCCTGGGCTTCATGGTGAGGCGGAAGTTCTGGAACAGCGACTGGTGAGGAGACAGATGCTGAAGTTCAGTGAGTGCTCCATAGGAGACGCCAGCTCAGGAACTGTGTAAAGTTCAGACTTCTAACAGTGACAGAAAGTCACTTGCAGGGGGAAAACCCTCCCTGTTCTCTAGTCTGCCACTACCGGGAGACAGACCCTAGGAACCTTTCCTGTGTCAAATTCCTCTCCTTCTTACCATAGTAATGTAAACAAGCATGTACACTTAGCTTTTCATTCATTACATTTCATTCATTCATTCCAGTGTTTACCTTCTACCCACCATGAAGCATAAGGAGGTCAGAGCATTCCTCTTTAAGCTTCTCTTCTCTGTATCTTAAATTTTTGGAGCTACCACTTTTATAGAGAAAATACTTACTTTTATGTTCTGTTTTGTAGTGAAGTCTTCATTCTTTTCAATAAATGTCTATAAGTGGAAAGCTTAAAAAACTTAATCTTATGATTATACAAAAATTATTCACATACAAATTATCAATTAGATTCAATTCATAAAAAATGTAATCTCACGACAGTAAAAACCTATTACTGAAAGAAATTCTCAACAGAGACATCTTTTTTCCTAAATGTGTTTTCTTTTTTCTGATTTTACCCTCTGCCACTTTTTCCCAAGTCCATGTGAACCTTGTTTTCTTTACTATTTTCCATTTTATTATGTTGGATTATGTCTGCATTTTTTCATAAGATATTTGCACTTATATGTCCAAAATTATTTTTTTTTTATTTTGTTGTCATGACTAATAGTTTGACTCACAAAAATCATTTTCTTTGTTCAGAACTTGAAGACATTGTCATGTGTGTTGTTAGAAGTTCTGATATAGGCTCAGTCTTACTTTTGCTCTGGCTTTTTTTTTTTTTTTCTCTTTGGAGGCTTTTAGGATTTTCTCTTTTTATCTTCAGAGTTCTGAAATTTTATCAGGATATGTCTAGGAGTGATATTTTTTTGAAACAGCACTTGGGGCTTATGATTTGAAGATTCCCATGTTTTTCCCACTACTTTTTAATTTCTTTCTCTGTGTTTAAATAGTTTTTTCAATTTCTGGTTTTAGTTTCTCTCAGTTTCTTGTAACTTTCAACTTTTTGCTCTTTGTAGTAACAATCCTTCAACTTGATTTTCCAGGTAAAAAATTTAGTTTTTGGTTGTGATCATTCTGGTGTTTAGCTCACCTACTAACCTTCTGAAAATTTTGACAGCTACTCTTTGATCCTCAAGAATTATGAATGCTTTTATTTCAAAGCAACCATTTCCTTTTTTAAAAATTAATATGATATCTATTTGTGTGTTTATGTATTTTTTTTTTTTTTTGGTCTTTTTCATTTTTATCGGTACCAGGGATCGAACTCACGACTGCCTGCTTGCAAGGCAGGCACTTATGCCGCTGAGCTAAACCCCCAGCCCCATGTATTTATTTTTTGAGATTGAGTGTCCTTATGTAGTTCAGGCCGGCCTTGAATTCACTATGTATTGCAGGCTGGCCTCAAATTCCTCCTGCTTCAGTCTCCCAAGTGCTGGTATTATAGGCATTCACCACTATGCTCAGCCTTGAATCTCAAGCTTGTTTCCTATATCAGTTCTGCTTCCTTGAGGGTCATCCTTTTTATTTTATGAAAAAATAAAACAAAATTTTATTTTAAAAATGAGAAAATATCAAGAGTACACTGTGTTTCAATCTGAAAAGTAGTTACTCAAGATATAAACAAGATATGAACAAAAAATATTCTCATAAAAAACAGATAATAGCACAAAATTTTCTTTCAGTGAACTAAGAGAAACTATTAGTACTGTATAAATGAAACAAATTGGCATCTATATCAAAGTATTTTGAAACAATGAAACAAGTAATGTGTGGAATTCACTGAACTTCTTTCCATTTATTTTCTGTTTTGAGCTTGATTTGTGTATACATACATTGTTTTTGGTTCCTGTCTTTCTTTCTTCTTTCCATGCCCCCATCCTCCCAGTCTCTGGTGATTTTATTTATATTTTCATACGGCGAGATGAAGGTCTCAACTGAAGTGTATCAATAATTGAAAGGGATTTTTCTCAACCTAGCCTCTTGATTTTAAAACCGACAATGGGGTTGAACCCTGATTACTAAAGCCCTAGATGCAGCGACTGTGTTGCACAGCACCGTGGGTGCTGGAGTTTATGTCTCCTGCTCATCTGTGTGGTAAACGTTAGTGACTTAGGGCTCTTAGCCAGGAAAGCCAAGCTCTTTCCTTATTGCAGTCAGAAGAGGGAGAGAGGCTGCGAAGTTACCTACCTTTATGGGATCAAACATTAACGTGTAACCGAAGTCTATCCTGTTGGTTTACTTTGAAGAATGGAAAATAACCTGGAAAGAGCCATCAAAGGCTAGACTGATCTATTTTGGAAGAACAGAGAGTCTTAGGAGAAAAGACGTAAAAGTAGGAAGATGAAAGACGAGCCAATGAACTGTGTTAAGTGCATGTTTGGAGGAATTTGGTAAAAGATAACCAAGATTTGGGAGTAGTTGCCTTGACATATAAGGTACTCCTTATGGATATCCTTTGGTATTTTAAAAGGAAACTTTAATATAGCTTTAAATGGCCTTATGAACCAGTGTCTTGGAAGTGACTGGCCTGTGACAGCCTCCTGTAGAGAACGAGCCTTTGTCTCTCCGATGATTACAGCCTCTTTGTAAGCAGGAGTCAGCTCCTACGCCCTCCAGTGCAAGGCCATTCTAGGGAGTCTTCCAGTGCCCAGTTCAGTATACAGAGGAGTTAACTGCTGCCCACACCCCGATGCTAGCCCTTGCTCTGCAGTGTAGGTAGTCTTATCACTTGGCACATCCCCAGTATTGACTCCTCAGTGTTACTAAGGCAGAAGAAACAGTTTGATAAAAATTATGTAGCACACTCTCATATTCAAAATGAGCGAAATATTACATGCCGGTTTTCCAAATCCAAACAAACAAAATAAAAATTTCACTTTGCTTAGACAACAGACTAGCTGTTTCCTGTAAGGAGCGCCATGCCATGCATTGTCTGAGTGCAGAGTTTCAGACACCTGTGCCTCACAGTCCTGTAGACCTGTCAGTTGTGCTGTCATGGAGCTGTTGATGCGGACAAACATATGCTCCAGAAAGACAAATCTATGGAGTAAGCTTCATGAGGAGCAGTGCCTGAGACGTAATGAGATCATACCTGCAGTGTGATTGATTGGTTAGCCTTGGAATGGAGCTGTTTCTTCAGTCAGATAAGGAGTTACTCATAGGAAAGACACTAACTGATGCTGTATTTTCTCATTATTTCACTTTTTTTGTGTTCCTCATAGACTGGTTCCCCAAATAGCTGCTTATTTTGCATAGCTTTAAGTTGGGCTCTGCCTGTGAGAATTCTCAGTGGTGCACGGTGGGCTGGTTATAATCCTTTTTGGGGACTACTAGATACTATAGCTGTGTGAAATACTGCGTTGCATCCATTGCACTTTGGGTCTCAGCACAGGACAAGTGGTAGCATTGACCAGAGGGAAGAATTGAGAAACACAGTTATCCTAGATCAAACTAAGTCAAATTTTCTTTGCCATTTTTTAAAATTAAAATTTAAAGCCAGAAATGCATTTGATGCCATTAGAAATGCATGTTTTTCTTCATTTCTTATAGAAATTGCATGACATTTTGGAAAAAAACAAACACGATGCTATCAAAGAGCTAGGTAAGTTGTTGGAGTAACTGATTTCCTGAAATCATACCTTATGCTTCCATAAGTCAACGGAAGGTAAATAAGTTCATGCATTCATTCATCCATCCATTCACGCATTCATTCATTTATTCATTAAATCGGTGTTTGTTGAGCACACATAATGCGTAGATCTGAACCCTGAAAAAAGTGGAGGCTGGAGAGGTGTGGGAGCATGCCAACAGGTCACTGCAGAGAATGAGGAAGTCTGTTTTGCTGTGGGAGCATGGAAGAAATAATAAGAGGACCATGGGCATACGTTATTGCAGCAATGCCAGAGTTCTCAAAGCTGTAAGAAAAAGACAGGTGAAAGTTGCCTTTGACAAACTGTTCTGTTTTTGTAAGGATTCCTGACGGGTAGGGCTGCAAGGCTGCTCTTTCTTGACTATCTATCGTCACTGCACTTTACTTAAGCACACATAGAAGCTTGAGGATTTTATGCTAAGTGTGTTGGGTCTGCTTTCCTCTGGGGATGATAAGGGGATGATAAGGTCTTTCCTCAGTGGATGATAAGGTCTTAATAACTGGACCTGAAGAAAGTAAGACCCTTTTGTACTTATGAGCACATTTTAAGATGCCATATGAATTTATAGAGGCCAATTTCCAAGTCTAAATGGAAAGAATACTCTCTAATGAATGAAATTGTAAGTTTCAGAAAATGGATCAGAATATTTTGGCACCATCTCAGAAACCCCAGGACTCACTGTCACCTTTCTTGTATTGGCATATTTTTTACTTCTGTGATTTTAAAGAAGAGGGGTCTAGGAACTGCTGTATTAAGTTTTAGACCAGTATAGAATATTACAACATTTTCTTGATTTAGTTCTGTAAATCAGAGTATTTCTTTCCATATGATGACTGCAACTGATTATTGAATGTTTATTAAGTGAGGCATTATAAAATAATTTGTATGAGCTACCTCTAATCTTACAATTAACTTGCCTGAGGCCACATGGCCTGTAAATGTTGACTCCCCCCCCCCCCCCCCGTATCTGACTCTAAAATCTATGCTCTTGATCATGACTGCCTTTCATTTTACTGGTCAGCTCATGTCAATGAAAGAGTGTGTGAGAACCTGCTATATGTTAGGCATTGTGCTCAATAATTCCAAAGAAGAAGTGGATGATATTTGAACCTAGTCTAGTCCATAATTTCTCATGTTCAGTGAAGCAGAAAGAATAAGTAACTTGATCTCAGAAAGAGCCACCAGTCAAAGTCCAGGGCTTTTTCCATTCTTTCACTTAGTCATTTATATATCCAACCAACAAAGAATATGTAATACAGATGATGAGACAGATAAAGAAAAGCAATAATACAATAATGAATTTTGTCCTCGAAATATGTAGGAGATGCCCTGGGAATGTGGTGGAGAGACTGATTTTCTCTTAGCTGGTGGGGGAGGCTAATGTTCTTGTCTAAATGCAGATGAAAGTAACTTTCATCTCCTCCCAGCCTTGTGAGTTCTATGTGAAACTAGAATGAAAAGACACTATATAAATGTTTGGAAACTATCAACTATTATACAAACATTGATAATCATTGATGTTATATAAGTTACTTACCAAGTATAATTTTCCTCAGGATTCATAGAGCACGAGAATCGAGACATTGTCATTGCTTTAAAGACCAAGCAGGTGGTCCGGAGAGTGTTTGCTAAAGCTCAGAAGCACCTCACCTTCCTTTGGTCAAGAGGCATTATGGATAGAAATGAGGCCGTCAGCATGCACAAGGTAAAAGGCGATTTCCACTTTGCTTGATTCCATCAGCCCTGCACACCAGCCCGCAATATCACTTTCACGGGGCTGTGAGGAAAGTTGATAGGACAAGGTGTTAAATTGCATCTGTAACTCTGTAGAAGCCTGCAATCTTCATTAATGTCATTGACAACAAATGCCAATGCTGTCTGGTAGACTCGAAACTATTTCGCTACAAGTTTAGTGAAGAAAGTTGGAGTTAGGTTTCTAAAGAAATAGGATTGGGGCCTTATTAAAAGAACACAGAGTATCTTACAGAACCCACAATAGTCATGTGGTCAGGCCCTAAGATGGAACTCGAACAAAGTTTTCCATTTCCTACAGAGAAAGATTCTCCATTTCCTGCCAAGCTTGGTCTCATTGGTGCCCTCTTTTGGCTCTTTCTCTAAGACTCACTAGATTTTTCTTCTTTTCCATCTACCTAGTCCCACTGACTGTGGAGGTGGCAGTCATATTTACAGGGTTGGGGAGGTGGTCAGCCTGTGTGTGTGTGTGTGTGTGTGCATGCACATGCATGTGTCAGGGTATAATGGTGGGGATTTGGGTGGGACGGTTCTGAGAGGAGAGAACAGGGAATATTGCATTAACCAATTGGCCAATAAAAGAACTTTTGAGAAATTATAAATATGTTTCAGAAGATTTGGAAAACATGACAAAAGGGGAAAGCCACATTTAGTCCCAGCACTGAACTGTGCCCTCCATCTAGACTGTATTTATGCCTAATAAGTGTGTCCTTTCTGCTCCCTTGTGAAGAACTGCTTCCTAGCAGATGTCGGGAAGACGATGGGAGTTCTGTCCACATTCTCTCTGTGTTGCCCTGCGACACGCTGTTCCTGGATGCTGTCCACTCTTCTCTGTCAGCGTAGCTCTGATCCTTGGACTGTGATAAACTGTTTTTGTCCCTTCTCTTTGCCTTAGAAGAGAAATGCATGTGGGGCGGCTTTCTCTGGTGCTCTGTCTCATCACCAAATAAGCAATATGAGTTTGCCTTAATCTTTGTCTGAGGAAGGGAAAGAAAAGGCTGCTTTACAGTGTTTCTCAAGTTACACCTCTAAAACAGCATGCTTCATATTCTATTTTTTCATTTATCATTTTGAAGTTTGTATAAGACCATTGAATGTTGATGTCCATTTATTAAAATAAATAAATACTCTGTATTAGTAGACAGACCTTTTTCCCCCTATAGGTTTGTTTAGAAAAGTGATGGATAAATTAATCATGGGTTACTCATTAAGTGATAGTAATTGCCTAATTGTGAGCAAAGGCGATGCAATTATCTATCTAAGGCTATACAGCGACAGGAAAGTCTATTTAATTCAACTGAGAAAGCATATGTTGGAAGCACATTGAGTGCCTTGGACTCTTCAGATGGGAATGCTTGATGATGGCGACACTGAGCCCACGCCCTTGTGCTCTTCCTTGTTTTCAGTCGGCCATTTTTCCATCCAACCAATAGCAACCAGGCAACATGGAGGGTGAAATAAATGACTAAAACTAACTCTACCACGTTGTGGAATCCACCCTGGAGACATGTGGGCAAAGCTGTGGCAATAAGGGGATTAAAAGGATTTTCTCTTTCCTCATGAAGGAAGCAGAGAAGGTTTCTCAGAAGCCAGGGCTGGAACTGTATCCTCCCAAATCAGAAAGATTTAGAGAACCAAATCATATGCACACACATAAGAAAACGTGAGAGAAAATGGCAGTAGGTTGCGTGAAAGCAGTATAAAATTTGGACAACCTAAGCTTGAGCCAAGGAGGGATTTAATGTTAACTGAATTGTAAAGATAACAGGTTTGATCTAAGCAAATAAATCAGTGAATACAGAAAACGGAGGAGAACAGAGACAAGAAGGAGATAGTTTACATAGGATTCAAGAAGCTCTTAGTTGAACACAAGGTTAAATTTGCAAAGTAGTTTAATTGGATTTCCTTAGTTTTTGCCCAATGTCCATTTTCTGTTGTAGGACCTTACTGCTGTCTTCTTGATTGTTTGTTTTCAGGTATTTCTTAACAAAATAAAAGCCTTGAATAATTTTCCAATGGTAGCCCCGCCTCCTACTGCTGACCAATACCTCTCTAACATTATTTGGATGGAAAATAAAGATGTTCTCATTGAGTTCTTCAAGGTAAGGTTTACGTTCTCTCTTCTGGCTCAAATATTATGCACATCTCCCCCACTCCTATTTTTCCCACTATCTAATGCAAGATTAATGGAAAAGTGCATTCAAAGCACAAATCCTGCGCTAACCAATTTGGTGGAAATCAAAATGAAGGCCCAAAAGAAAACCCAAAAGAAAAGTACATTTCTTTCTGAAACTAACAAGGAGATAGTTGTTCACAATAGCTTATCTGCTTAAAAGCTATTATTTCTTGATTTTCACCAAACCTATTCTATTTCAGAAGTTCTGAACTTCCAGGTACTACTCTGAAAGAAGCATGTTCTTTTACAGTGAAGCTCTCAAGTTTAAATGACTAAACATGCCAAACAGATGATTTAAAAGTAAAATCAACTGGAGAACAATGAGGATTTTGTTGTATTCAAGAGTTCATGCTTTGTATAAAGTTAGCTGAGTTTTGCTACAGAAATCTAGCCCTTTTTGACAAATACCTATCAAATGTCCTCTCTGTACCAGAGACTGTTACAGATTTAGGATGTGGCAGAAAACAGATGAATTCCCTACTGTCCATTGGCTTTACACTACATGGACAGCGAGGGATGACAAACAACCCGACACATAAATGTAAATATAGTGTGTTGGGGTGATAAGTGCTATAGAGAAAAACAAGAGAGGAAAACAAATATGATGGAACAACAACTTTACATAAGTGGTCAGAGAGGAGTACTCTAGTAAGGTGACGTTTGAAGATATTTGAAAGAAATAAGAAAGCAAGACATGCAGATGGCTTGGAGCAGAGTGTTCCAGGCAAGGGAAGAGCCAGTGCACAGACCCCAAGGTAGAGGTGTCTAATGTGTTTAGGGAGTACCACGAAGATCCCTGTGCCAGGAGCGGTGATGGATGGAGATGGATTCAGCAGTTGCAGAAAACTTAAATGTGTAACATGTTGTAGGCCACTATATAGACTTTGTTGTTTACTCTGAGCTGAATAGAAAGTGATTGGAAAGTTTTAAGCAGAGAAATGATATGGTGTTCAATTAAAGAATGACCACTTCTGCTGCCATGTTGAGAATAGGCTGTAAGAGGTCAAGGGCACACTAGGGAGACTAGTTAGGAGGCAATTATAATAAGGGATGGAAGTGATAATGGTGAATTGTACTAGTAAAAGTGGTGAGAAGTGTTCAGATATAATTTGAAGGCAGAGGAAAGAGCGAGCGAGCGAGAGAGAGAGAGAGAATGAGAAGGAGGAAGAGGAGGAACAGTACAAGGAGGAAGAGGAAGAGTATTACAGGGGAAGAGGGAAGGGAGGAGGGAGAGACTTCTAGGATTTTAATCTGAAAATAGAACAGAGTTTCAATTTACTGAGATGGGAAAGAGAAGATTTATACAATAGGAGCCAAAAGTTTGATTCCAAAAGAGTTAAGTTTCAGAAAGGTTTGAGACATCCAAGTGTGGTTTTGGGTTAGACATCCAACTTTAGATATGGGGCTTTAATTCAGATGGGAGGCCAAGATTGGAGAAAGACATCTTGGAGTTTTCAGTAGAGAGGTAATATTCAAACTCCTGACAGTTGATGAGCTAACTTAAGGAGTAAGTGTAATGGAAGAGACAGCCGAGGAATGCCCAACGTTTTGAAGCAGGCAGTTGAGGAGGAATTGGCAAAAAGAACTGAGGAACAGTCTGTAATGGCATCTCCTTTTAAAAATGAGAAAGTGTTTAGCTATGTGAAATAAGGCTAAGAGATTGGATAAAGTAAAGACTGAAGATGACAATTAGATTTAACCACATTGGGGTCAAATCTTTTTTTTCTTTTCCCAAGATAACCATAATAAGAACTTATTTAGTGAAACTTCCAAACTAAAATTTTTGGCAACTAATTAGAAATTTTAAAATATTGTGTAGGCTAAAAAAAAATTACACACTTGGGGGCAAGAGGTGACCTATGTGCCATGATTTTGTGGCTTTAGACTTGACTAACTACTTTGTTAAAACTTTCTCATAAATTGGTTAAGATTTCTGGAATTAGAACTCTAAAATAATGCATGGTATTTGGTTCATCACAAGTTTGGTTGTACAAAAACCTTGCGGTATAGATAACAAGAAATATAAGGTTTTCCTATAATAGGAATGTTCTCCTTGTTTCTCAGAAAGAAATAACAGGACTCTATAATGCTTTGACTATATGATTTCTTTTATATGTTTTGTCTTTGTGCTAGAAACTTTAAATTTTATTTTGAATTTGATTTCAAATTGAGTCAAACTAAGACTGGAAAGTAGCAGAAACTTATTTAAACTGATTTAAGCAAAGGGAAAGTTTGCTATAAAGGTACTGTGGTATATATATTAGTGAAGAAAGAGTTGACAAATTACCAGAGACTGGATGGCTTCAAAACTTCAGAAATTTATTTCTTTTTAGTATTTTTTTTATTTTAAAGAGAAAAAAACCTCAGGGAATCAAGAAGAAAACAAAAGAACAAACAAAAGTAAAATCACAACAACAACAACAACAACACAACAAGAGTGATGTAGGATTTCAAAACAAGATATAGGAATTTAATGATGGTTGTTATATTGCATTTGTTATCTTCAAAATAGTTGCTTAGGTTACTAGATATAAGAATAAAACAAAGCAATAAAATAGAATAAAACATTGGATTTCAAAAACAAGACATAAGGAAATCTCCCACAGTTGCTGTAATGCATATTGTTGTAGTCCAAATAGATGCTCAGACTACCAGCTTTAGGCCTGCAAAGTTGATACAAGCATTAAGTTTTGTTTGTTTGTATTTTTCTTACTTTGTTTTTACTTCAGTTGCTATCATCTCAGCCTGCGTTGCTCCACATCAGCTAGCTGCTTGCTGAGGGAGTAGGGTGTGCTGGTGTGGCTCTTCTTGTCTCCCAGCCTGCACACTGGCTGGCTCATGGGAAGGTGTGGGTTGGCTTCTTGATTCTTCTCTCAGCCCACATGGGAAGGTATGGTTTGGCTTCTTTGAAAATTTATTTCTTACAGCTCTAGAGGCTGGAGAGTTTGAGATGAAAGCTCAGATAAATTTAGTGTCTGATGAGGGCCTGCATCTAGGTTAATAAAGGATCATCTAATTGTGTCTTCACACGATAGCAGGGCCAATGGAGCTCTCTGAATCTCTTTTACATCTTTCATCTCTCAAGTGTTGTTAACTAAAAGCACAATAATCTGTAAAGATCAGTGGGAAGACAATGGTAGAAAAACAAGGTCTCAGTTAAAGAAGAATACTTTGCTTTAGGTGAATTTTTTGTTTTTAAAAATTGCACCACATTGTTCAGCTCTGGGTGAATGCTTTGGGAACCACAATTCGCAATACCATTGTTGTACCATTGTACCATTGTTGCTCTCTGATTGATGTGTTTTGAAATTTTTTTGTAGTGGTCTTCTTCTTCTTCTTCTTCTTCTTCTTCTTCTTCTTCTTCTTCTTCTTCTTCTTCTTCTTTTTCTTCTTCTTCGTCTTCTTATTCTTGTTCTTGTTCTTCTTCTTTCCTCCTCCTCCTCCTCCTCTTCCTCCTCCTCCTCTTCTTCTCCTTACCCTTCTTTTTCTCATTTTTTCCTTTTATCCTTCAAATAAATGGATTTAGAAAAAATAAAAATTGCATCATTGCCCATGCTTATTTTAATACTATGAGATCATTCAGAACTATGTTAAGTGAAAAGTCTGAGCTGTTCCCCTTCTAACCCTCTCCTCAGCCCTGAGAAAACCACTATGGATGATTTGGTGTCTTTCAAAAATGTCATTCTGTCATCCTAATTCTGTTAAAATTCTTTCAGTGGCTCATTACTTGTTTTAGTCCCCAAGAGCTTTCAAGACCTCATCCTGGCCACCTCTGCAGCGGGGTTTCTGCCAGGGCTGCACTGTGAGCCTTGTGGACCCTTAGCAAGTTTGCCTTAGTGGGCCTCTTCCTCCATCAAAATATATTTAAACATTGTACTTCATGTGTGTATTAGTTAGTATAAAAGTGAATATGTTAAAACATTTTTCTTAACTTAAAATTTCTTTTATCCTTTTCCTCTTGTGATTTTAAAAGAAACTAGAACATTGCGTGAATCTCTAAAGTCGAGGGGACCCTAGACCTTGTGCCTACAGGGTAACTATTGATGCCTGCTTCTATGACTTCATCTCAGATGCCCATGTTTGGACTGGATATTTAAATTTGGGAGGTCTGATTTTTTAAGTTCTTTTTTTTGTTCTTGATAACAACCCTTTGCCTAAGGAACAGCTGTAAACCTTCCTCTGTAAAGATCTTAATGAACAACCAAGAGGTTCTGTGCTTCCGCACTATTCAGTAGTATCCTGTCCTCTTGTTTGTCAGGCTCATCACACTGTATTGTAAATATCCGAACAATGTAAGTGAAAGGTCTGGAGGCAGGAAGTTTGTCTAACTTGCCATTATAGTCCAAGCCTCAAATGATGGCTAAAAACTTTCTTATTCATTAATTTAATACTCATTCTATCAACATTTATTGTTTATGCCATTGACTGTACTGTAGTAGGTACTAACCACAAAATTTCTAGTTCATTTATGTCTTTATTTCTAAAAGTTGTAATATAGTTGCATGTTGTATTTTATTAACAAACCAAGAATATAGCTTGTGGTTTTATGTTGCTTAAAATCAAGTCTTAGCTCTGAAACACTTTTATTTAGAAAAGTAAAGTATGAAAGGTTGGTGTTGATTCTTCCTCTCTTCTCCTTTTCTCCCCCCCCCATCCAGGAAAGAACCAAACTTGCCTACTTTGACTATAATGATGTCATTTGTAAAGAAGGCGAAATGCCACTAGGAATCTACATCATTATTTCGGGAATGGCAAGTGTAAGAAACTATTGATTCTCTATTTGAAATGTATTTTGAAATAAGTCAAGCATAGTGGTACAAGCCTGCAATCCCAGAACTTGAGAGGCCGAGGCAGGAGGAGGATGGCCAGGGTCTGTGGCCAGCCTAGCCTTCGTAGTAAGTTCAAGGTCAGTCTGAATTGAAAAAAGAAAAGAAAAAAAGTATTTTGAAACATATAATTGTCAAATCAGAAATAATTTATCAGCCAAATGAAACCATTCCTGGTTAGAATGAGCATAAAGATCTTAACACTTGAATGTGCTTACTATTTTATAAAATGGTACAGTGATTACTTATTCTTCACAACAATCCTGGGAGAAAGCAATTTTTTAGGAGGTTAGAACAAGGAAAATAATACTTAAAGTGGCTTAAATTATTTATCTAAAGGACATGAGAACTCAAGAATGGGAGGATATGAACGGCAAAATCAGGTCCTTAGAGAGGTCGAGTAGGATGAGCAACAAAAATACAACTTTTAATCAGACCAGTAGGAGACTTTTACTGATGAGAGAAAGAGACAAATCTCCTATATCTTCTTGCTAGTACATTAGTAGCTAAATACAGAGATGAGCCCTAATCTTAGATAATGATGGTCCCTTATTATAGAGAAAATAATATACTTGACTTTCAGGTTTTATTTATTTATTCATTTTATTTTTTGAGACAGAGTCTCACTATGCACTTCAGACTGGCCTTGCACTTGCTTAGGCCTTGAATTTACAGCAGTCCTCTTGCCTCAGCCTCCCGAGTTCTGGGATTACAGGTGTGCATCACTATGCCTGGCCTCTTCCTTTAGAATTCCTGTAGAATGAGCTTTTCAAACCTTACAAATACCATGTAAATAAACTGTTATGATAAAAATAATTTGGTACTACGATAAAAATATCTGGTACTATTCTGAGCAGTTTTATTCATTCATTTATTCAACAAACACATAATTCATTACTACCACAGAGCTAAAGCCAGATGTGGTAATGCATGCCTGTAATCCCAGCACTCAGGAGGCTGAGGAGGAGGAACACTGTGAGTTCAAGACCAGCCTGGGCTACCAAGTGAGCTCAAGGCCAGCCTGAACTGCACAGAGAGACTCTGTCTCAAAAAGAAAGAGATAGAAAAAAATACTACCACGGAGCAGACACTGTTCATTCTTGGCCCAGGATTCACAAAATAGGCAACAGTCTCTGCCAGCTTGAAGCTTACTCTCTGGTGAAGGGATTAAAGGAGATGGAATGATGAACAAAATAATTACGCTGAGCCTATACTAGTTGAGCATCTTATTCAAAAGAATGCTTGGAACCCAGAGTGTTTTGAATTTTAGGTATTTTCAGGTTTGGGGATATTTTCAGATAGATAGATAGACATTCTGGAGCTAGGACTCAAGTCTAAAAATGGAATTTGTTTGCTTCGTGTATACCTTACACATACAGGCTGATGATAGTGTTATATTCTATTTTTAGCATGCCTGCACTTTGAAACCAAGTTGGGATTTTTCCACCTGTGGTCTCATGATGGCACTCATTTTGGATTTCAGACTTTTGGATTAGGGATGCTCAACCAACCGTATGTTAAAGGTGGCAGAAGCATAAAGAGGCTGTCGTATTTTTAAAAGGGTACTATAATAAGTAAGGCAATATGTTGTGCCTTTTAATCTTTATCCAAACCACACTGGTACAGGAAAAAAAATTTTTACCCCAAGGAGTCAGAATGTAAAAGGAACCATAGCTTTTGTGAAGGCTGGTTCTTTCTCCACACCTGACAGAACTGAAGAAGAATATTTACCTTTCCTTGGAATAGCTGTAAGAAACAGTGGGGGCTCCTCTCGTCCATGCACAGAATTTTGAATTTCCTATACATTTCTCCCCGGCCCTCCCTCCCTCCCTCCCTTGCAGCTGCATAGCTCATCTCCTACCTTTGGCATAGACTGTATCGAGAGACCTGAGCTGGAGGAGGAAACCCTGTTCACCGAGTACTGGTCGAGCGGGCAGCTCCTCGGTGAGCTGAGCTGCCTGCTCAGAGAGGAGGTTAAATACACCGCCATCTGCGAAACCACGCTGCAGGTAAGGCCATGGCTCTTATCTGCCTTGTTAGTTAATCCTTCCTCAAGCAATAAGGCTGCCAGTGCCTTTTCTTCCTTTGGATTCTGGTAATTTATTTAGTCACCCGAACAGAGAGGCAGCACAGAGTAGCGGAGAAGGCGCTTGTGTATTTCCCATGCAGGACTATGTTGAGCTCTCCTACCTCAGGGCTCTGGGAGCTCTGTGAATTATTTATCGCCGTTGATCTTAATTTTCTTGTTAAGTAGAGAGAATGCCTTACTTTTTGATGTTTTAAAAAAGTAGAAAAATATCTATGCAAATTGCCTGGATGCTCAATAATGGACCACCGTCCTGAAAGCAAGTGTTTTAAAAGAATATTAGCTAGTTTTAAAAAGTTTCTTCCTTTCACTTTTCACTTGCCAAGTAAGTGGTCAGACATTCTACTAGGTGAAGAGGATTCAAATAGAAACCAAAGTTCTTACTACTTTACTAAAGCTTTCAACATTTGCAGGAGATGGTGGTGTTAGGACAAGCTCCAGAAGTTTAGGGGTTTGTGGAGCAGAAGGAATTACCGTTTTTAATCAGTTCCACGCCATTTCCTTTTAAGAAAAGGATTAAAGGAATGGATTTAGCCACAAGGCTGACTGGGTCCATTAAGCTTCACTTAATTTAATTTCTGAAAGTGGCCTTTTTCAAAACTATGACTGAATAGCTACTACTATGGATTCATCTACAGTGGCAATAAAAATAGATAAATTTGTAGAGCTTGGTTCCTGAATTTTGGGCTCATGAGTCCCATCCCTAGGCATATCTATTGGTTGATATGAGTGTTCCTGGTCTATTAAGTCATAGCTTAATTGGGCCATAAATTTTATCATTTGTACGTAACAACTTTCCACAGTACAATCATTTTTAAATTGGGGAATATCATAGTCACACTATAGCTGATAGTTTTTCTGAAGTGAAGGTTAAATATGCAGGTATCTTATCTTATAATTTAGTTCTTATAATTTCATTCTAAATCCAGCTGGCTATGGCCTGGTGTCTTTTCATTTCAGGCCTTTTTTATCTCTTTGGAGGATTTATATGAAGGCTTTGATATCTTCTGGCCTTCCTTGGAATATAAAATATGGCTCAATTTTGCTCTCCATATTGCTTATCAGTATTTTGAACCAAATATTGCAGATGAGGTAAGCTACGTGATTAAAGTATGAATGAACTTTTAGTTACTGTATTCTTTACAAACTGTGCCCCGTATTTTCTAAATAAAGATAGGAAGGAAGGATGTGTCTGATTGTCTAAAATAAGGTTGCTAGAATTTTATCCACTCTTTTCCCCTGACTTCCTACATGCCCTTAATCCTTTAATCACAGTGAATTTTCCCAGGCTACTTACATTCATCCCTTAAGGAAAAAAATACATTAAATTGTAAGATAATCCTAAAGCCAAGCAAACCACAAACCAGAAAAGGCTAATGAGTACTCAGTATGGTATTTAGTGTGGCCTATTATAACTACCTTCACATACATCTCCTCAAAATCTTTATTGAGGTAACCGAGTCCCTTCCGTGCACATTCCCTCCAAACAGTAGTGGTTCAAATCTGTTCCCGGACTGGCACAAGTTACAATTCTGTATTTGTATCCTATCTGATAATTTTTCTCACCCCAGCTATGAGTTGGAATTTGGGGAAATGACAGACTTGAAGTTTAACAGTTTTCACTGAGCTGAGCGATTGGATATAAATGTTGCATTAAGAAGCTCATCATCGGGGATGGGGATTTAGCTCAGCGGCATAAGCGCCTGCCTTGCAAGCAGGTAGTCATGAGTTCGATCCCTGGTACCAATAAAAACGAAAAAGACCAAAAAAAAAAAAAAAAGAAGCTCGTCATACAGGCCAGTTGGCTTTATCTTTTCTTATGTAACAATAATAACTTGCAGAGAAATTTTAGTGGAAGGGTAAGGAGATTGAGACTGTGTCCTTTCTCTTTTGCCTTGAAGAGAAGTAGGACCAGTGGAGACAGATTGGACTCAACAATAAGAACCCCCTTTATATGTATTTACATTCACAAGCAACACAGATTGATAAGTAAATGAGAAAATACAGATACCAAGCATTAAGAACTAATAATGAACTTATGCCTGCAATCTTATTCCTCAGGCCCTGTACTGAATGCTCTGGCTTATTTTCTGTTAGTCATTCCATGAAGAAACTAGTCAGCTAAGAGTTTGGAACACTCCAACACTGATAAAATTATACTCCTCCTTCCTCAAGTTGCAAACTCCAAATACACATGCTATTTCAAAGATAAACAGTTTATTTTTATATTTTATTGATTGCAAAACTCTAGATAACAAGTTCACTGATTTTCTTGTGTTCTTGGTGGCCCAGTTGTGCTGGTGCTCTCAGCAGGTGGGAATTTGACTTGCTGGTTAATGACTGATACCCAAGGGCTGGAGATGTTCAGATGAGGCTGACGGCCCCTGTCAGTACCCTGTCCAGCTCATTCCTACTGTAGCACTGACCACTAAGTTCCAGGGGTAATTTGCTAGTGCAGCTGTAATGAAATACCATATACTGGTCCAAAAGTACTACCCCCTGGGCTGGAAATAGAAAATCAAGATTAGGGAGAGATGAGGGAGTGTCTAGTCCAAGGTTCCCTCCTTGGCTTGTAGAGGCTGCCTTCAAGTCTTCTCCCTGTATGCAAATCTGTATCCAGATCTTACTTGTTACTGAGAACCTGAATTAGAGGCCCGGCTTTATTGCCCTATGGCTTCATCTTGTCTAATTGCATCCGTATTGACTGTATTTCCAAATAAGGTAACTTTCTGAGGCACTGAGAGTGGTAAGGGAGAATCCATCCGTAACAGCTCTCTTCTAAAGTCTGTGATGCGAATAAACAAGTAAATAAACAAATAGATGCATAAATAAAATCTGTGATTCTGAGCCTCAAAATATCATTCAGACCCAGTGTCTTGCTGTAATTTTGTTACTGTTTACAGAATTGTTGAATAGCTTGTTTGTTTACTGCAAGAGAAAAACCTATCAATCTTTAAGCCTGGTTTGGTGTAAATAAAATAAGAACCCAGCCAGGCATAGCTGATCTCCTTGCTGCAGCTGATGGAACAGTCAGAAATCAGTGGTTGGCAGCCAAGTCTGCCGTCATGAAACCGCTGAATTTGGAAACTTATCAGAGGTCATTTCAACCTTTAAATAAATTATGTGTGTTGGTACCAGGGTCAATATGACTTCTGACATCCTTGAAGAATTAAGATGGATCACTGTTTTATTTTCTTCTCTATACCATGTGTCAGTTTGGATGATCTTCAGGAAGAAATGTAATTTTGTTGCAGCACTTAACTTTTCAGAATTGTATGGCAAACAAACGCGCCTATGTGGAAAGTTTACCAATCTATACCGAAATGAATATTAATACCGTGGACATGAAATTTGTTATTATTGTGTATGGCAATGTGATTAATAGTGCCACAGAGGAGCTATATTTTGCGCCTTGCATTATACCTAAAACCTGTAATCAGGTAAGAAGCACTATTTCTACAGGGTCATTTGCTTTTTGTGGTGTCCCATAAGTGACTTTAAAAGTTAAATGACAACAACTAATTGTGTACTACAAAATAGCTGGTAGAGAGAATTTTGAATGTTCCTAATGTGAAGAAGTGATAAGTGTTTGAGTTGATAGATGTGTTGGTTACCCTGGTCTGGCTCTTTCCACACATTTTATGCATGTATGGAGATGTCCCACTGTACCTCATGACAATGTGCCATTATTACATGACAATTGAAAATTAAAAGGTGTAAAGTTATAAAAGACCCTGAAAGAAAATAAATCCAATAAACAAAATAAGTGCAGACAAAGTGAACATCATTCAACCATCTCAAAAAGAAATCTGACCTTCAAAGACCTTGTAGTTCTTACCAGCCTGTAACAAAACAGTAAAAACACAACAGGACTCTGTTAGTATGGGTGCCCGCCCCAAGGGTGTGATGCAGAGGCCAGGGTCTGCGTGATGACCTCTTGCCAAACTGTTTGCCATGGTGGGAGGCTGCCTTCCCAGAGGAAGGAGTGGTACAGTGCATGTTTTCCAGTCTACACAAAGACAACTTGTGTGCTACTGCAGCTCTGCAGGTTGGTGAGAAATCTGCCGAGTAGTGGCTGCATCATTCTGTGGTCACACCAATGGGCAGTGGGTGCTTCTGGATAGTAGCATGTGCTGGGCCCTGGGCTACTTCATCCTACACCACGGTAAGTAAGGATGGGGAAATGTGTATACCTAGGAGAGTGATAGTGAACTGTGTAGAGCTGATGCAAACACCCTGCTGTGGCATGCATGCCATGGGTTCACCGCCCCTGACGTACGGTGTAGCTGGGTGTGGGGAAAGTAGGAGAAACAAGGTCCCTAGTGGGCCAAGCCACCTGCTTTGGGCCTTTGGGGTGCTGAAAGGGTAGGCTTAGAGTTAGGGGTCCATGATGGGGAGGTTGGCACTTTTTGATTGGCAAGAAGTTTTTTGGGGGAGTCTCTCTCTCTCTCTCTTGCTTTTTTTCCTGTTTATACTGTATAAATGAAACTTCATGTCCTAGAAAAGTTGGTAAGTGATTTTTGCCTTTTCATAACATTCTTACTTTGTGCCTTTCAGTAATTCAGAGGCTTTGAAAACAAAGGTGGGACTGAGAGGCAAGTGGGCAACAGGAGCAATACCTGCCATTATTTTATTACAGATACCAAGGTGTGGGTCACCAAACACCTGTGCACGAGTAGGGATGGGCCACTGCTTACCCATTCTGGTCTTTAGTTTTCTCCTTAGCAGGTTGGGGATAATGGCAGTGGCCATTTTAGTAGGTCAGTGGTGAGGATTCAGTGATATTCAGAAATGACAGCTGTAATTATTTCTCTCTCCCCTGTTACTTGCATTCTGGGACACAGATTTTGTGGCTTAGGAAGAGGTTCCTGACACCCTGGGAAAGTTGGGTCTTGAACCCTCGACCTTCAGTGTAGGAATAAGAGTAACTCATTGTTTTCTGGGGATTCTCATCTTTCCAACCTGGGAATTTTCAGTGTAGTTCACGTAAGGCAAAGAAATTTAACTCTGTTGTCCACAAATACTGTATGCAAAGCATAATTTGCCGGTCCAAGAAAGAGACAGGGTTTAGGTTACAGACTAAGTTCCAGGTTTTGACTTCTTTATATTCTTTGGAAAGATTGGGAAGCAGCCAGTTTGGGATCAAATAATGCTCTTTTAACTAATTTTGGCTTTTTTCCTTTAGATTCAGGGAAGTGTGGATATAACCAAGCTGTTAATAATCCAAGCATCTGAGCCTGACTCTACTGATCATGGCAGTAGCATAGGTAGGGGATAGATAGCTTTTTAGTGACAGGAAAGCCATTGAGAAGGGACCTCAGTACATGTAAAATTCTCTTAATTCTGAGAAAGTGATTTGAGAGTGCGGGTTTATCATTAGTCCACGTTGTGGGCCCAAACTGGTTGCCACATTGCTTCTGAGAGGTCATCAGAGACATCCAGACGCTCAAATTCGCGTGGTTTTTTCCTCTTTTATACCCTGCCTCTATACCTTTGACAGAGGAAAGCAGCTTCTGGACTGTACGCAGTTCTTGCCCTGGAGACACATAGAACTGTGGGGCTGGTGCAGGAGTGGGGAGAGGACAGGCAATCCCACACTGGGCCCACATATGGGGACCCGGTTTGCTTCCAGAAGGGAAATGGAGTCTGACCCACGCTCACTTGAGTATCCCAAATTGCAGTCACAGTCGCAAGTCAAATGACTTGCTTTAGGTAACTGCCACCGCTCATTATTACATCCAACTTCGTGTATCGCATTGCGAAGCATTTCATTCACAGTTCAGTATCCTTACCCCACCAAGCTCAGTATCCGGGCTCCCAGCTGCCCTAGCTTGAATACACAGAATTGTCATTGATTTATAATTCATGAGACCTGATACTTTAGATATTGTGCAATTCTTAATGAATTGTTAATTTGGGAGGAGGATTTAACCAATTTTTTTTTCTCTCTCTCTCTGGTACCAGGGCTTGAACTCACAACTTTGTGCTTACTATGCAGGCACTTATGCTGCTGAGCTAAAGCCCTGCCCTCCTGCACTCCCCATCCCAGATTTCTAATTACATGCATAAAGTGAGATTTTGTTAAAATTTTATATTTCACAGTTTCTCATTTGTGGAATTCTTAAATGATGCAACTCCACTGTGCTGAATACCATGCCAAATGTTAGTTGATGGGAAACCAACCAGGTTTCTGCCTTTGTGAAGAGGACAGACAGGCATTAAACTGTGTAGCTTTTTCCTTAGCAACAATCTGGGCATCAGACATTCTTATGGCTCATATTCTATCCTCTGTTCTGGGGCCATAGGCAGCACCATGATTTAGAGAAATTCCTCTGCTTTCGGATATTATCCAAGTTGGTATCACTGAAATGACCATTTCCCCATGACACACAGACTCTCAAGATCTGCTGAGTTACTGTTTCCAAACCACTTTGGATTTCAGGGGTCTGTGGCAAGGTTTATGGCTTTGGGGTGGTCTGAGGGCTATCGAATCAGAGGTTTTAAGCACGGCCAAGAAGCTGGGTACGAACGGGTGCCCGCTGGTCTTGGCACTTGGACCTCTCATTTTAATCAGACCTTTTGGAATTTTTTATTTTCAAACTTTAATTAAATTTATTGGTATATGTTAGATACACATAAAGATCATGCTTATCATAAGGATTTATGCCTGTATACCATATATTTTGATTTGGAATCATTTTTAGATGGAAGGAAATAGGTCCCTGTGTTCTCCATGGGTTTAGATGAAAATCACAAATTGTAACTCACAGGCTGGATCCAGCCAGTATACATGGTTTTGCTCCTTCCATATATATATGTGTGTATAAATACATATATATATATATATATATATATATATATATATACATATTTAATTTTAAACGAGTTGCCACGTAGAAACAGACAGTAGGTCTGCATTTTAAAAGCATAGCTTTTGAAGTGTTTATGAGAATTGAGAAAGTCTGCTAACACTCAGCTCAAAGTACTAGCAAAATGAACTAGGTCTAAGCTGGCTCCTGCTGAGGGGCAGATGCTCCCCACCTCGCCACAGTCCAGGCTGCCCTCTCCCTTTCATGCAGCATATTTCATTGCTTATGCCCATCCTCCTTGTTTGATTTTGTTGCTCTTGTATTTGACTTTTGGGAGCCTATTAGACACCTCGAAAGGAAGAAAGTAGAGAACTCCTTTGAAAAGAGGAAGGGAAAACGGAGCCTTATAAAGCAAACTGATATTTCAAAATATTCTGTTGCCTTTACCCTTAAGTTCCTAATTTGGTTTTTCTGTTCAATGCTTGCTTACTTCAGTCAGCCCTGGTTTGCTCAGAGCCAAGAAAGAACAACAGGGGAAGAAAAAAGATAAGGTAACACACTTGGCAATTGGAATAAATGTTTCTTCTTGTGGCTACTAAACAACACAGTAAAATAAATTGTGAGGTCAAGGACTGAAATGCAGGTGGCAAGAAGAGACCCTTCTCCTGCAACTCATTATTGGGACAAATTGAGATACAACTCATGGATTATTTAGAAATTAAAGCTAAGAATATTTTTGTAGTAATACTTTGCCCCACCTAATTTCCCCCTTTTAAATTCTCTGTCCCTGGTCTTCAGTTTACAGGGGAAGGTCTTTGGGATGAGGAGTGAGGGCTATGCTGCCGCGTGGATTTGGTCAGCAGTGTCTCGGCCTCTGTGCTTCTCCCTTTGGACGTAGGGATGCTATGCGGGTGGTGTGTGGACCCACACACTGCTTGTGGGCCTCTTCCTAGAGAATTAGTTTTAACTTGAAGATATTTTAACTGTTAGGTTATTTAAAATATTTTAAGATCAAACAAGAGATGTCAGAACTCTTTTTTTTTAAATAAAGATTCATGTAGATTTTTATGTACACATTTCTTCCTACTTTCTTTAGCTATCACGGCTCATTTACAGAAATTTGAAGTGTTAACAGTCATGCTTAGAACTGGGGAGCAAAAGGGACTTAGCACACCGAATAGAGCAGAGGCCAGTCTGTGGGTGGTGGAGGCTCCCTGCACCGCTCAGGTCTCTCGGTGGCATCTCTGTTGGGTCTCGAACAGAGCTCATCTGGGGCTTGTGCTCTGGTGGGTGGCACAGAGGAAGAGCAGGACAGGGCAGTGGACTGCTAGGAAATGTAAAGGTGGGTCACGCAGCAGTGATGGCACTAAGGATGAGCTTCAGGGAACTCTGACACCCTCTCTCCTCCAGTTTCTAACAAATGGATGCCAAATCGCTGCAAATAAATGTGCCTCTATGAAAAATGACAATCTCCAAAAGTGCAGCTTTCAGAGAGAAGTCCCTCACTCTACCCCATCTGGAACCAGATGGCCACCCTAAGACCTTCTGAGAGAAATTTTATGTTACCACTGTCATTTATGATCATTAAGGTGGTCTGCAGAGTTTTGTTAGAGGAAGGAAAGTTGCACTGATCAAGGTTATAATAGTTCCTTTTAACAAAGCAATTTAGTCCTTTTTGGGTAACTTTCTCAAGGCTGACCTCTCTTAACGGGAGCATATTTCACAAGTAAGAAATCTATTTTTTTTTTCTTTTTTTATTGGTACCGGGGATCAAACTCACGACCGCCTGCTTGCAAGGCAGGTGCTTATGCCAATGAGCTAAATCCTCAGCCCCAAAATTATCTTTCAGGATACCTATGGCTATTTTTTTTTTTTTTAATCGGTACCAGGGATCGAACTCACGACCATGCGCTTGCAAGGCAGGCGCTTAGGCCGCTAAGCTAAATCCCCAGCAAGAAATCTAACTGAGAGTCAAATAATTGAGCTTCTCATTTTTACTAAGTTTTTCAGACTCTGTTGTCACCATCCTCGTCATGATTATCATCACTATTCCTACTTGCTCCCCTCATGCTAGGCAGTAGCCCTAGTGCTGAGTTACATTCCAATTTCGAAGACCTCATTATTTATTTTTTAACATAGCTTTTATTTATTTCAATCTGATTTTACTGGCACATTTTAGATATACATAATGATCACATTCATCATAGAGGAATTTGTAGCTGCCATGATTTCCCATTCCCCCTACCCTCTCTTCAACCTCTCCTCCCCAGCCCATTTGCAAAAGACGTTTCCATGTTTTCCTTTTCTTACTATTTTTTTTTAATTTTCCCTTCTTTCCTTTCCTCTTCCTCTTCCTTGTTTGTCTCCCCATTTGAAAATTTTCTTCCTACTTCACAATACCTATTATACATTTTGGTTCTTATTTATAGTTTCAATTTTTCACACCAGAGAAACCATGCAGTATTTCCATGTGTGCCCAATTTATTTCACCTAAGAGAATGGATTCAAGGTGCATCCATTTTCCTAGAAATGTCTCAAGCAGATTCTTATTTAAGAGGCCCCATTATTTAAAAAAAATTTCATCTGACCAATTAATGAAAAAAATTGCAGTTAACTGGAATTTAACTTTCATAACACTTCTCTTTTCCTTTAGCATATCTTTTTTTTTTTTTTTTTTTTTTTTTTTTGAGACAGGGTCTCACTGTGTAGCCCAGGCTGGCCTTGAACTCACAGCAATCCTCCGGCCTCAACTCAAGGGTGCATGCACCGCCATGCCCAGCTACCTTAAGCACAGCTTTGATAGACTAATTGAATTGATGTAGTAGCTCTTTACAATATAGAGATACATATGTAATTAATTATAGTGTATCACCTAAAGCCTTTAATATATAAGATCTTTCAAGGGAGAATGTTTCGGATTATAAAATAGGAACTTTTCAATATGTTTTTTGTGGCTTTTGTTTAACAGTTAAGAAGTTTCTCCTAAAGTGCTCATATTCTAATATTTTTCTTTTGACTTTCTTTTATAGTTCAGAACTGGACATCATTTCAGAAAACCACGTTAAAGATACAAATATGATGTGCGGAGTCAGGTTAAATGTGAAAGACAAAAAAAAAAAAAAAAAAAAAAAGACTAAGCTAATATCCTGGCTTGAATGCTGAAAGATTTCCTGGCAAGAAGTTTACTTAGAAATTGTGGAAATAGTTTACTGCTTCATTTATTGTATAAGCAGTTAAAAAACTAGTGTATAAGCTCTGATTTTAAATATGTGCAGTATAATTGAGATGCTTAGAATTCTTCAGAAGATGCTCTAAAATTTATAAGCTACAAACCCCCTATTTTCTACCCAAGAGGCAGTTATAACAAATTACTAAATATATTGCATTATTAATGTACTATTGTAGCATAAGACATAATTTTTGTGAATTTGCTACATTTAGTGCCTGCATATTTTCCTGAGTACACAGTTATTCTTCCCTGTAAAGTTTAGTAAATATTGAAAAGTAGAACAATCTTGGTTACTAAAAGCAAAACTTAGGGGAAAAAAGGAAGAGCAAAACTCAGGAAAAATTAACATTCTTGTACTGTATAGTATTATTTGATGCCACTTTAAAATTTATTTTTAAAAGTCAAATAAAGATGACTGTTATGGCTGATATTAATATTTTTGGCATATATTTTCTTTTTTTCACCCCATGACTTTGAAAAAAACACATGATTCTTTTGGGAAATCACTTCAGTGGGTAGGAATACTAGACACAAGAGAAACAGTAAAACTCAGGCATTTAGAAACCTGTCATGAAAATGCCTGGAAAGTAAAAAACACACTTTTAACTAAACCATGGGTTACAAAGCAATCAGGGAAGAAATAAGACACTTTCTAGACTAAATGACAATGCCAGTACAATATGCAAGAACTTAAGGACACAGTGACAGCAGTTCTACGTGGGAAGTTCATAACTGTGAGTGCACACATCACAAAGACAGAGTGAGCCCAAATAAAAATCTAACAATGCACCTCAAGGTTCTAGAAAAACAAGAACAGTTCAAGCCCAAAGCAAGTACAAGGAGGGAAATTATAAAGATTGGAGCAGAAATCAGTGAAACTGAGATCACAAAACAAAACAAAAATCTCCTGAAGGCTGATCAGACCTTTGGATACCCGTACTGGCGACAATGGGGAATAAAGAAAGACCAAGACAAATTTCAAGGAACAGAGGTACCTAGAGGTGTTTGCCTCTAGTGGACTTGCTGGGCTACCTCTGCGATTGGCTCGATTTTGTTGGGTAGCAAGAAGCACAGCAAGAAGAGTAGCACATGAACATGAAACATAGTAACTATGAAAAGTGGTTGGATAAGTAATTAACAAAGAGCTAGATTTTTTTCATTTTTTTCTTAAAAAAAGATTAAGATAAAAGAGGACATAACACAATAGGTCAGAACTGAACAGTTTAAGCAATATAGTATTTCACCACAAGACAATCCAACATAACATTAGTTACCATAGTGTCTCTTTCCTTGAAATAATTGAGCATACCTTTATATACTATAGTATCAAACATAACAAGACAGTGTAAAACCATTCAAGAGAATGAAAGTATTACAGGGTATTCAGAACCAACTAACAGAAAAAGAACAAAGATTAATATATAATCTCCTTGTCTATAAAATATTTTGTTTATACTATCACATATAATAAAATCCAATAAGATATAACATGATAAGACCAATGGAGACAGAAGAACAAAAGCTTGGTGGGATTTCAAAACAAAATGTTATTAAATCATCACTAGCTATTATAATGTCTTGTTTTCTTCAAAATAGCTGTCCATACCGACACAGGCAATAAAATCAAATAACCCAGAATAAAACCATCCCAATTAATGAATGAAAACATTAAAAGGCTTGAAAGCAATATAATGGAGAATCATGATTACCACATACTTTTATGTATTCTTACAATTTCTTACACTAGGGAAACTATTCGATATTTATACATGTGAGTTTGATTTATTTTGCTTATGAATATGGTCTCAAGCTGTGTCCCTTTATTTATAAATATCTCAATGTAATCATTCTTTATAGCTGAGTAGTACTCCATTGTATAAAAATACCACAACTTTTTAATCCATTCCTCAGTTGATGGACTCTTAGGTTGTTTCCAAGATCTGGCTATTACAAATTGTGCTGCTATAAACATGGATGCACATATATCACTGTGGTATGATGCTTTCAGTTCTTCTGGGAATATGCCTAGAAGTGGAATAGCTGGAACAAATGGGACCTCCAATTCCAGCTTTCTGAGAAATCTCCAGACTTACCTCCACAATGGTTGTACCAGTCTACATTCCCACCAACAGTGCAGGAGAGTTCCTTTTTACCCATAGCTGATCCAGTATTTGTTGTTGATAGTTCTCTTGATCCTGGCCCTTCTTTCTGGAGTGAGATAGAATCTCAGTGTGGTTTTAATTTGCATTTCTCTAATGAGTAATGATGATGAACATTTTTTCATGTACTTATTTGCCATTTGTATTTCTTCATCTGGAAATTGTGTATTCATCTCAGATGCCCATTTTTGGATTGGGTCTTTGAACTTTGGGTGTCTGACTTTTTAAAATTCTTTATATGTTTTAAACAGAAGATCTTTATCTGAGGGACAGTTCACTAAGATTGTTTCCCAGTTTGTGGAAGGTTTTCTTTTCACTATGCTAGAGATTTCTTTTGACATGCAGAAACTTTTTAATAAGACATGATCCCAGTTATTGATTCT